TTACTGATTTAATTTAATTTTTTAATTTATTTGCATTTTCTTAAGCCAACGTAGATTGCTTTAATCTTGTTCCTATTCCCCTTCAGTTTGCCTACCACTCTATGTACTATCTAACATATAAAAAGTTGTGTGGGTTGACTTTTACAGAGAAAGTTTAGTTTCCAGACAATACTGGGTTCCAATGCTAGTCTAAATATATTCTTGTTTCAAGGGTTCCATAACTAACCCTGGTGACGGGGTGGTGGTAGCCAGAGCAGTTCTAACAACTCTTATAGCATGCTGTATAGGAGGAGGGGTAGTTCTATTCATTTATAAACTACACCCTGATGGAGTCTGGTCCCTGTCAAAGGTAATCAACTACATCCTGATGGTGTCTGGTCCCTGACAAAGGTAATCAACTACATCCTGATGGTGTCTGGCCCCTGACAAAGGTAATCAACAACTTCCTGATGGTGTCTGGTCCCCGACAAAGGTAATCAACTACATCCTGATGGTGTCTGGTCCCTGACAAAGGTAATCAATTACATCCTGATGGTGTCTAGTCCCTGACAAAGCTAATCAACTATTTCATGATGGAGTCTGGTCCCTGACAAAGGTAATCAACTACATCCTGATGGTGTCTAGTCCCTGACAAAGCTAATCAACTATTTCCTGATGGTGTCTGGTCCCTGCCAAAGGTAATCAACTACATCCTGATGGTGTCTAGTCCCTGACAAAGCTAATCAACTATTTCCTGATGGAGTCTGGTCCCTGACAAAGGTAATAAATAACTTCCTGATGGTGTCTGGTCCCTGACAAAGGTAATCAACTACATCCTGACGGTGTCTGGTCCGTGACAAAGGTAATCAATTACATCCTGACGGTGTCTGGTCACTAACAAAGGTAACCAAATACTTCCTGACGGTATCTAGTCCCTGACAAAGGTAAACAGCTGCTTCTTGATGGTGTCTGGTCTATGACAAAGGTAATCAACTACTTTCTAACGGTCTCTGGTCCCTCTTTTAATCAAATTTTAAGATTGGTTGGTATCGTCTGTTTTAATTGATCTTTAATTTGTATTTCCCATATTAATTGATTTTCAAGATGATCAATGGAAGTTTGTTTCGTGTGATCCATATTAATTTAATTTTAAAATAATCGAAGGAATTTTGGTTTGTATTCTCCATATTAATGGATTTTCAAGATGATCAATTGAAGTTTGGTTCGTCTTCTCCATATTAATTGATTTTTAAAATAATCAATGGAAGTTTGGTTGGTATGCTCCATATTAATTGATTATTAAGATGATCAATGGAAGTTTGGTTGGTATGCTCCATATTAATTGATTATTAAGATGATCAATGGAAGTTTGGTTGGTATGCTCCATATTAATTGATTATTAAGATGATCAATGGAAGTTTGGTTGGAATGGTTTCTATCTGTGCTGGCGCTGATAGATATTATCCCTGGGCTGCGTGTGTTATTTCAGGTATTTTAAAATTTAGCATTTTTAGTTTTGAACTAAAACTTCCTGAACCCCCACTCCCAAAAGAAATTTACAAGTGTTTTTTAATATCTTTTTTATATTGTTTAGAGAGAATTTTTCAACTTTTAAGCATCAAAACCTTTTTGATAAAAACTGTGGCTCGGACGCATTTATTATGTGGTTGCCTTCCCTCTTTTAAATTATTTGATCTATTCAAAATTACCAGTAGTTTTGTTTTTAGGAATAGCTGGATGCTGTTATGTGATTGTATCTAAACTAATGGTTCGATTTAAGGTAGGCATTAGTTTCTATGGTACTTAGCGCCCCTCTTTTTAGAATAATCTGTCTTCATTTTATTTTCATCTTTAATCTAAGAGGATGCTCGACCGTAACGAGCCCCGTAAAATATTTTCCGAGCCGCAGAATGACCTCAAAGCCTTGCCAAGCACCCTCCACATCTTTGAAGAAAAAGTTGATGAGTTCCAGCTTGAAACGCCATGAAAAAGAAGAAAATGAGGTCAAATTGCATGTAAGGACAAAGGGGGTCATTTTGCGGGTTGGAAGTTATTTTTAAGATCAATGACAGCCG